ACCAACACCCCCAGGTCCTTTTCTGCTGGGCAGCTTTCCAGCCACTCTTCCCCAAACCTGTAGCACTGCATAGGACTGTTGTGACCCAAGTGCAGGACCCGGCACTTGGCCTTGTTGAATCTCATACAGTTGGCCTTGGCCCATCGATCCAACCTGTCCAGATCCCTCTGTAGAGCCTTCCTACCCTCAAGCAGGTCGACACTCCCGCCTAACTTGGTGTTGTTTGCAAACTTACTGAGGGTGCATTTGAACCCCTCGTCCAGGTCATTGATAAAGCTATTAAAGATGTTAGAGGGGGTGAGTCCCACCTCCGATATCTTATTGTGGCCATTTGACGACCAGTTAAGGGATCTAGAATGAAGTTAAAACTTGTTCAGAGTCATCACTGTCACTTGACACTAATGCAGTGCCAGATTCCATTGCTGGTCTGAAGTGATTCTCAGTGAATTTTCAAAGCACAGTAAGTTATGCCTTTTGAGCAAGGTTTTCTTTTTTCTTTTGTTTCTTTTTTCCTCTGGTTTTATATCATTTAAGCAATTGAGATTGTTGGAAAGTGCATCTGGTTTTGGAGGCTCTCCCTCCAAATGGCGACGCTCATGAAAGCAGCTTGCCTTTGTTCAGAACGAGCTTTGCTGCATCACACATTCACTCCCCACACCCAATATTTGGAATTCAGTGTGGGATAGATAATCCGAGCTTTGCTTTAATAAACCTTGCAACTCCCGGAGTGTGAAACTACAGGCAATTTCTGATGGGGTGCAAACTCCAGGCTGCTACCTTATTAAAATCAGTGCAGGTGGGATTGCATGAAAGGGTGTGAACCTCCCTGACGGAGCGGGAAGGGGATGAGCAGCTTTTGAGATGGAACTCTGTCTCCACTTGACTGGACCGATGAAATAAATCAACTAAGAATACTTATTCTGAGGATTTCCTCTTTGACCTTGTCTTTACTAGGGGAATTTTGCAAACTATTGTGATGATGATGATGATGCAAAATCTAACACAGGTAGACCACTTAGTCTTTGCAGAACTTAAACTGCTGTGTTTTACCTTACATGTAGGGCTCATCTACCATGTGACTCCACATTAGCTCTTTGAAAATAACTGTCAATGATAATTATGCGTGTTTAACTTGTGGTTAATCAGTAAAGGCTTTTCTCCGTAGAGTTATTCCTGATGTGGCATATCCAGAGCACGCACCCATGGATTTAAGATCATTTTAATGTCTACTACTGTATTGTGCAAAGGATTCTGGTCCTGTTGGCGTGTACAGTCGAGGGAGGGAACCTTTAGAGCATCCGTTACAGATTCCCGACATCAAATCTGCCTCTGTGTCTCCACTGACTGTAGGGAGGTGGTTGCTGGCAATGTGAGGAAGTAGGTGGTGTGAATCTGTCAGTGCTCTCCTCACCTTAGATGCCTGAGGTCAACTTCAGTGATGTTGTAGGTGGTCTGGATACCACCAACTGCACTTGCGTAGGGTGGTGCCAGCCGCTTCTTTTAGTAGTGTTGGAGCCGGCTGTAAACAAAGGTGAACAATTTGTAAACATGGTTTTCTAATCTAGGTGAAACTTTGTGTAGAGGGGAAAAAAATTCCCATCTTTGAGTCCAGGACCATGAAATCTTATTCTATTTAATAGGAGGGAGGTTAATCTCTTAAGAATAAGTGGTACCCTTTGTACTTAGCTTAAGAATAAGTGGTACCCTTTGTACTGTTTTTATAGTGACAGGTGTTAGCTAATAGATTTGGGCTGGGTATATTCTTTAAATAAATACTTTTTTTGAAAGCTATCTCTAAGCTGCGATTCTGCTGCTAAATAAGGAATGCTAATGAATGTCCTGTCAACCAAAGATCATATCTATTCTCCAAGCGTTATTCCAGTCTCTAGCTCCTTGCTGCAGCTTTGGTTCTCTTTAGGTCATAGCAGTCTCTGATACCATTCCTTAAACATAAGCACATAATATTTCTGTGTAACTGAATTCAGTTCCTGAGTTCAGGGTTTTAAAGCTATCTGCTGTACGTGGTGAGCAAAGTGGTGAGTATCTCTTCCTCAAAAAATTGTAGAAAAAAGCAGAATCCTGGGAAGGATGGATGGAAATCTCATCCATGAGTCCAGTGTCCTGAAATGCTGGTGGTGGGACCACTTGCAAACGGTCTTGAGCGATTCGTCCATGACCATAAAGGACATCTCCATGAAGCAGAGCCTGACATGTCCTGGTGGAAGGTTGCAATGGCCACAGGCTGGAAAACCTTGTCCATCGCTGCCTGCTTGGGTTCCTGGGCAGATAGTGGAATATATTAACAGTGCTCCAACACTCCCGCCCTTTTGCCCTTTGGGCTTCTTTTGTGTAAATCCATGTATGAGCAGGTCTAGTTCTTGCACACAAATTTGAATGGTGGCAAAACCCATATGTAGCTTTGAGCCAGTAACATATGACACAGATGATGTAAAGGAGGATCATCTATTACAGGAGACCCACCCAGTATAGGCTGACTATATTTAGAGTCTGTGGACCTAACATAAATTGAGCACGAATCTGGAGTTGTTCCATGTGCTCCAGTGAAGATGCTTTGGATTCACGCTAGTGTAAATGAGATCAAAATCTGGCTGCTTCTTGAAGATGGCCGGAGAGAGCGTGAATGAAATCCCCAGCAAAAATAGAGACTTGTTCTCAGAAACAAGCCCCCCAGCTGGCAAGACTTGTCAGAGTACTGGAGCTATTGAAAAATGCTGCAGACAGAAAATGAATTAGAGGATAAAAAAGTGAAAATGAGCTGGCAGAATCTTTAGGTGACTCATCAGGTGCATCTTGTAAAGTCTCTTTCTGAGAAGTAATGAAATCGCATGTTCTAACAATATTTGCACTGCAGCAGGAAAATGCATAAATATTGGGATCAATTAATGAAATTAGATAATTTGACCAAAAAAGCCATAGCGCTGGCTCAGAAACCATCCCTTTTCCTTTTTGCTAGTCTTGGTGCTTGCAGTTAGAGAGGAAAATCATGTGTTTTCATTTCACATCTAAGATATACGAGACCTAGGTAGCCACAGGGTTACTGGGACACTTTGGGTAGTCACCTGCAGCTCAAGACCTTCCACTTCCACCCCATGGAAGTCCTCGAGCTGGTGGCCAGGCAGGTGCAGAAAAGCCCAGGCAGCTGTCTGCAGCCTCTCACCCTTTGGATTTTAGGTTTGGTGAGGGCAGATGCACCTTGTCTCTGCCAGCCACAAAGATTGTCTCTTCGTGTCCCTCAACCTCTATTTTTCAACTGTAAAATGGGGAATAATGATTTTCCTTAAAAAGGGAAGTTTTCCTCTGGAAAGAGCCCTGTGGGTATGTGCATCAGCCTATGACATTGAGATATTCCAGTAACTCATTGCATGCTGTGGTGTTCATCATGGAGCTTCAATTCTGGAGTGAGAGCTGAATTTGGAGTGAAATACTGGGATTGCTGGTATCAGTGGGTCAATTTATGCTATTTATAATAGGGAAAATACCTTATTCCAACAATATTTTAATTGATGTATATTTGGGGAAGGCAGTAAACCTCGGGTGAGGAAGAACAGCTGAACGGTTCTTCATTTATACCATAACAATGATAAAATCTTAGACGTGAATGCCTGTATTGCAGAATATGGGCACGGCACTTGAGTAGGTATTCTGGTGGGTGATCGTGAGCTCTCCAAGCAAAAAGAGCTATTGCTGTCTTTGGATTTATCAACAGCAAGAGCAGAACTCATCAGGTTAGCCTACCCTTGGTTTGGCACTGGTACAACTGTTGTTGGAATAATTTGTCGAGTTTCTGGCATCCTTGATTCAAGAGGATGTTGACAAATTGGAAAGATGTAAAAGAGTCACGAGGGTGGTTAAAAGATTGGCAAACGCGCCTTGCCAATGAAACAGCCAGTCTCCTGGCTCAGATGAATTTTATATATTTTTTTTTCTTTAAGCAAAGGTTAAAGGGTGGCTTTAGCAGCTCCAAGTACCTGTGTGAAGAACAAAAATAGACAGCGCTGGAGGCTGTCAGACAGAGGTGTAACACAAGCCGGTGCCTGGAAGTTGAAGCCGTACTTGAGCTGAACAGAACAGTTTTTAATAGTAAAAGCAGTGATTGGTTGTGATATTTTACAGGAGTCCTGGTTTTTCATCCATTTCTAGAATTATGTACATCAAAATTGGGATTTTTTTTTTTTTTGGAGATTATAATTTGCATTTAGGCATAATTCATGGAGGAAAGCCCTCTGGCTCTATTAAGCAGGGGCCAAACTATGGGTATATGTGTATGCCAGAGCATCTCTTGGTGTTGTGCACCTACTCCTTAGCTCTACCTGCACCTCATGTAGGATGTTTCTTCCTTATTGCTCGTGTACCTCTGCTGGCTGAGCCTGATTTGAAGGGTTTTGATGCTGCTGAATTACAGTAAGAATATAACAGTAGATGCTCATGAGAGGTTTAAGTGAGATTTTTTTTCCTCTTTATGAGCATTTTTTGGTGCAAGTGTTTCCCTTGTGAAAAATGAAAAACAGTGGCTGGCTTATTCTGAATACAAGTTTTATTTGAAGAGATACTTCTTCTATTTCTCTAAAGGGCTTGGTCCACCTTTGTTGCCCAGCAAGCCTCTATTTCCACAGGAAGCTTGTCCAAGGAGAGGCTGTGCTAAATTTACCTTGAGATCTACGTGCGGCAGAGTTACTGAGATAATTCTTGGTTTGTAAAGCAGAGTGTCGAGTCTGGCTGTTGTTATTCCTTCTTATGATGCAATATAAGAAAGACTGTCTTCTCTGCCTTACTGGTCTTACTGGCCACACAGATTTAAAGGAGCTCGGTGTTTGTAATGGATCTTTAAATACAGCCTGGAAAGATGCAGAAAATGAGTCTGTTTTAAAGCAGTCGCTCGCGTTTGTTTACTACAGCAGCTAAAAGATGATTATTTGGGGTTTGGTATGAAATTACACTGGTCGTTTTTTTAAACGCGATGTTCTCTCTTATTTTTCTAGCTGTGGGAAGCTCAAAAAATAAAACAGGTAATATGCTTTTTTTATATTTCACGATTGGTTTCAACTATTGCTGCTTTTTTCCTTTCTGCTAAGCGATGCTGTCCTCTTCTCCATTATTGACTTTGCCAGTTGCTGTTTCGTCTTGCCACAGAAATGTAAATGCAGAGAACACTGTTGCCACCAAAGAGTCTGATTTTTTTTGTGTATTTATATATTTTGATGTCTTCATTTTCTCCTTCCTGTCTAGTCAAGAGATTTCTTGTCTCCAGCCTTTTGAAAATAGTTTGACAGTTCTTTGGTAAGGCTTGTAACTGTGTCGTACCTTCCTCCTCTGCAGTCCTGGATCGCTTGAGGATTGACTTTTTCATCCCCAGCCAGTTAATGCCAGTGCAACCTCCTGGGCCCATTGTAAAACTTGGTAAAAATGGGCTGAGTGAGCTGTGTTGTCTGTTTATTGGTAAAATGGATTTAGCATGTCTGTGGAGGTTGGGCTGCCCACAGTCACCAACATTGGCTGAGAAGCTGTGGATACACATAAAGGTTAAATTATCTGGCATGTGAGGGGATTTTGTTTGGGTCACCCTTATGGTTACAACTGGAGCGGACCACACCTGCATGTTTTTATCCAAACTCAGCCAGATCCTGAAGCAGAGTTTCAAGTTTCTTACAATGTACCGTGTGGGCTCATGCAGACATACCTGCAGATGAGGAAGATGTTCCTTGGTCTGAATCCATCTGCCATGGCTGAGCCACACAAGTCCTTACAAGGGTCTCCCGCAACCCATTTGCTTCACAAGCCGCATAAAATGATTTACACCCTTGGTGGGTGGTCTTTGGGGATATTACAGTACCAAGAAAGAGCCATTTTCTATATTTCAGGTTAAATTATTTGCTTCTAAATTATTAACTTACTCTAAATTATTTAAGGAGAGGGGAAAGCAGCAGTAGGAGGAGGTTTTGTGGAGACTGCCGAACAGTAAGTACCTTTGGTCAGAGCTGCAAAAGCAAGGAGGGTGCTGAGATGCGCGAAGTCCCCCTGTGCTCTCTGGTTGAAGGTGCTGTTTGTAGAGGCTGAGTGCTGGCTTCACTGTGCCTTCCCAACTGCTGCTGTGCCTTCACTGTGTCTGTTTGCTGACTGTTTTGCAGGCCATCATCCATCCTGATACAAATGAGACCATCTTCATGCCTTTCCGAATGTCAGGTATAGTATGTGCCACTTGGGCAATCATTAATTTTACTGGGAAGTTTTACAAAATGTGGGGTTTTTTTGTTTTTTTTTTTTCCCCCTCCAGTTTTTGAATTGCATCATGTAAACACTTGTAATGTAATCAAAATGCCTAAATGCCTTTGCAGTCAAGGAGAATTAGGATCCTAAATGCCTATGCGAGATCTAGTGCTTAATATTTTCCCTTCCTTCAGATATTTTGATGTGGACTCAAGCTAATACCCTTTCTGGAATTTTTGAGTTATCCATCACTATAATAAGCATTTTAACTTTGTAGTAAACAACGAAGCTTGATGGCCAACGAACAGCTTAAGGTTTTACTCTCCAGGAGAGAATGGCATGAGCCCTGTTTTTCCACGTGCAGTGGTAACTTAACAGCCATGGCATTGGGAGCCCAGGAAGGATCAGCTTGTTAAGCGCGGCTTAATCAGGCTGCTTAACGATTAAGTCATTGCCACCTCCTTCCTGCTTTGGGGTGTCCCTTTGCCATGCACAGGTCCACAGCTACCTCTGCTGTGTGTTGAATAGCATCTCTCTTGAGGATGCAAGTGCAGCCTTGGTCCTTTCCCGAAGGACCTATTTAAATAAATAGGACCTTTTCCATATTTTAGGAGGTAACAACTTCACCTGAATACTGGGCACAGGGGAAAGATAACAGGGTTGGCACGCTTTGTTCTCCAGTTCATTGAAGAAGGGTGATTGTGAGGGTGAAGTAGAAAGGAGAAAAGCCAGTGCCTACTCCATTGCTGCCTTGTTCTGTATTTTTTTTTCCAATTTTTCTTCCTCTTAGGTCTTTGCCCTTTCCGACTGTAAATTGGATCCATGAGGCTTAATTCAGTAATGTTGGTAAAATGCTCTGAGACCTTCTAGTGGAAGTCATAGAGATGAATTATAATTAGCACAAAAATTGGCAGCCTTAGCAGGGGAAAAATGTGAAGCATTTGATTTTTGTGGCGCTCAATAAGATTTGGGGTAAAGGCTTATCTCTAATATAGAGAGCTTTGACTTACACCTATGATCAAAATAGTTCCTTGCTCCTCCACGATGCAAATATACTTTCTTCAGGGTACTTATACCCTGTTCCTTTTTCTACTGACCTAGAAATAAATGAGCTCTCCCAGTATAAAATCGCTAGCGGAGAGGTTGATAAAGCAGGTGAAGAAAGAGGGATAATAGCATGGTCCCTCTCCTTAACTGGCATGGGCTCTGCAGCTTGTTAGATGGCTTCATGAATGTCTTCAGCATGCCATCCTGGGTGGGACCAGGCTCAACAAGAGGGGAAAGGGCACAGAAAACTGAAGGGTTTTCTCCTGGGTTAGTGAGGGTAGGTTGTGGGAGGGTCTGATGAGCAACAGAGCTGGCACGATGGAGGGAACAGATTGCGTGACTGAGCCTGGGAAGGGGGGCAGGATCTCCCTCTTCCCGTGGCAGCAAGCCACTAGGTCAGTTCAGTTAACGCCACCGCAGCTCAACAGCATGATGCCCTCTGAAGTGCTCATACCACATACTGGCACAGACTGAGTTTACTGGAGTAAGCTTTAGGGTCTAGATGTTATAAGTTTCGGGAAACTCTTAGAGCACAACCCAGGAAAAGCAAAAAGAGGATGGGAAGGAGATTGGGAAAAATCAGGAGGCTGCTCTAGTTGATGCTTGGTGCATCAGGTGTAGGGACACAGACATCCTCGTGGTGGTACAGAGCTGGTGGAAGTGAGTACAGCCTGTCCTGCCAGGTGTGGCTTCTACCCTAAACTGGTAGATGTCTTAGATGTGATTTTTTTTTTTTTTTTTCATATCAAAACTGCGTATTAAAATGCATGCTTTTTTTTTTTTAATAGGTTACATTCCCTTTGGAACACCCATCGTAAGTATTTTAACATGTCTCCCCACTTTGTTTGCGAGTACCAAGAAGTGCATTTTTTAGCACTCGCAGACAATTCTCCAAATTCCACCTTACCTTCTCGCGACACGTTCACATAGGGTTCCCACCTTTCCCGTCGCATGTTAGCAAGGGCTTCGTTGTGTAAAACCTGCCCTATGGACATTGTGCTCAAGGTTATTTATCTATTTAACATCATTCGCCCAACCCCCTGCAATGTCTTCAGCTTTATTTTTCCCTTCGGGAAAGGGAAGACCAAGATGAGCTCACTGCCTGCAAAGTGCAACTTCTGCAACTATCGGTTTTCATCTTTGGACACTTTTTTTTTTTTTTTTGCCATTTGCATGTTTTACAAGTTGCTTCCCAAACGTGACGAGCTACAGCACGGTGAGGCCAGTGTCGTGTGCTCTCATCTTGATTAATTAAAACGGCGAGTGCTTTCCGTGGGGTTATCGCTAAGGGCGTTTTTAGTTTGTACTTGTTATTGTGAAATTTGTAAGCATTTGGGTGCTCTCGATAGTGAAAGCCAGAAGGGAGATAATTCTGCCTTTCTTCCTAATGCTGAAACCTCAGCTCGTCTTCAGGAACAGGAATGAATAATTAACCCATTTTATGAATGGGGAAACTGAGGCACACAGTTTTGCCCCAAATCGCCCAGAGTTGGTGCCAGAAGATCCTCCTAGCTGCCAGCTCTTGGCTCAGGTTATTAGATCATGCATACTAAAATGGTTGAAGGAGCAAAATACGCTAAATTTAATCTTCCTAAACCCAGTGGACTGTGGCATAGTGCTTGCTTAAAGGTGATCCTTTCCCAAACGGTGGTAGTGGGGTTGCTACCACCTAAAAGCAGAAATCGTCGCGGCTGTTACTATTTGTTGTCGTGCGTAAGGGTTTGGTGGTAACTTTGTATGGGGCATTTTAAAAGAAAAGGTTAAACAAAAATGAGTTAACGATCAAATTGACAATGAAATCGGCCCAAATCCAGAGCTGTCAGAGGAGCCGAGAGCTGTCAGATGAGCCCAATTTCACTAGCTGTAAAGGATAAACTGGAACCTCTTGTCATTTAAAAAAAAAAAAAAAACCCAAACGTTTCAAATGTTAAAATTAAAATGTAACATTTATGCCAATCGATCTGTGAAATTTAGTGACAAAATTGGCAGCCTGCTCTAGCATAAAAACAGTTTGAGTCTTGCATTTCACATAGGGGGATGGGATTTCCTCAAGAGAGACTTAATGTGCCTGCGGTGGGCTCTGGCTGAGCGAACGTGGCTGTCCTCGCCCGCAAAGCCGTGCCGGCGTGCCGTTGCACCCGCCCTAATTGTCCCGGTGTTTGGGGGTCAATTAAACACCCTGCATAGATTCCGCCAGGGACGTGATCAGATTATGTATTAACAGGTTTACTGCCTATCAGTCAATACACGATGCTGCCTATATACATGATTTTTTTTTTTTTACCTCTATAGCTGATGCAAAATAATTCAGTATGGTTTAGCTCATTGTGAAAGAGATTAAGGTCTTGCTGAAAATAATCATTCCTTTTTCTGGCCGAAAACAGCTACCCCCCTGACACAACCGAATCCTGCGGCTGTTTATTCTTTCCCTGAGTTGCAATTGTTTGCTTTTCTTTTTAGCCTATGTCCTTTCCATGTTCAGGTTTATGGTTTGACCCCAGAATCGGTTGCAGTGGCAGAGTGGGAACAGGATGGAGTATGTTTAAGTGTAAGGAGAATTTGTGCTTGCCCACCTTGGTTTCAGCCCAGGAGGGCGCAAATCCAGCTGCTCATATTGTCTCCCTTTGCTGTAGGGGTGAGATGTGCAGGGCAGGGCCTGGGCTGTAGCCTTCTACCCTGGTTTTGTGTTTCATCCCAGGTATGAAAGGCTCAAAGGAGGAAGATTTGTCTGCCTTTAGGAAATTCAGCCCAAGACACGGGCAGTGAGGGTGGAGCAGAAGCCATGCTGCTGTTCCCAGCTGCCACCCACAGCTTTAAGCACCTTATTTTCCCCAGCCATTTAAAAATAGAGGGGGGGTCTTGTTGAGATTTCGAAGCACATAGAGAAGACCCGGATGTTAATTTGGGGTTGCAGGTGACTCTTGCTGACACATGAGGCAGGACTTGGGGCTTGCAAGAGGAGAGCTCATAATGCAAATGCACTGTGAGGCTGCTCAGAGCCGACAGATGTCTGAGTGGCGGCTTTAGCCCTGGCTTTGGGGCCGGTTCACACCTGATAGGCAATTAAATTTTGTAGCTGGTACTTTTCTAGTGTTTAGAAGCTTTTTTTATTTTGTTTTCCTTCTTAGTTATTTTTTCCCCTGACAGTAATTAAAAGTGAAACTGTACATTTCTTGACAGACTCTTGCACATATGGAGAGTTTGCATTTAAACGTGCCTCTTTCAGTCATACAGATTTTGGGTGCTCTTTTTTATTTATTTATTTTCCTCTTTTATTTTTCTCGGCGCTCAGCTTCAGCTGACAATGTAAGTAGCTGCCTGCAGCCTTTCCTCTCCTCTGGAGCCTCATTAGCCCACTGGCTTCAGGAGCATAAGTCAGTCCTGGGGTGAGGAGGTTCGTCGCCTGTTGAATTCGTTTGGCTAAGATCAGCAACAGAGTAATTAATGATGAGATCCACATATTGAATGGAAGCGGTAAATTAGTGTAACTTGCACAGATTGGCGCTTGGCCAGTGTACAAAGTAGCTGCAACTTCACGAAAGGCTGTAGGAGGAAAAGCTGGAGGAGGAGGAGGAGGAGAAAGGAAAGAAGATGTAAATGAAATCAGGCCTCCCAACCCTATTACCCTTTTGTTTGCTGTTATTTCTCTCTCATGTCCTTAAGCGTAGAAGTTGCCTCCCCTTCAACTGATGCTGCTGCAGATGTGCAGAGACGGCTTTAGCTTATCCCTCCTTGCGGCAGGCTCTCCGCACTCTAACAGGGAAGTTTTCTTTCTTCTCAGCCTCTGTAGGGATAAACTTAAAGAAAATGGTGCAGAAGACGGTTTGAGCGTGGGAATGAACTCACGGTCTTTTTGCCCAAATGCCTTGGAGACATTTCAGTTCACATGAGTGTCCTGAACATAAATGTAGAATTAAAAGGAGTTGTGCAGTCTTTGTACTGTTAGTAAAGACGCAACTGTGATTTTGCAAGATGAAGACAATCTTCTTCAGAAACTAGCAGACATTTGAGGCGCAGGAGAGGAGAAAATGATGAAGATCATAGGAACTATTTCATCTTGCCTGTTTCTTACCCAAGAACTCATCTTCCTGTCTGTGTTTATTGGACTTATCATTGGAAATCCCTTGCTTTGTATCCCTTTCCTCTTCTTCAGCTTCTTATACTTTAAGAGGTCAGATTGCCATAAAACAAGGTAGGAAGGAGTCTGGAAGTGCAGCGTGGTGCGTAAGAGATGGGGTCTTTAAAGAATTGCAGAGGGTGTGCCCATGTAGTATACTGAGCATGTCTGAAGGATGTTCTCAGGACTGTATAGGCAACATGCACGTGTGTGGCCTCAGGTGCTGCGATGGGTGACCTTGCAAAGTCTGTGGCATCTCGTACTTGTGCAGCAGCGGGCATGAATGCGAGATGGCACAGCAGTGGGCATGCCTGTCCCATATGTGCCCGGAGAGGCAGCCGTAAGCCTCTGGGAGACAATGATCGCCAGCCTGAGCTCATAACCCGAGCAGGAGTTTTCGCAGCTCAGAGTATGACACATCAACAATTCTCTTCTCTTAAAACAAAATTCAGGCTCCCAAACAGGAGCACATGTGCTTCCAGGTGGCACTCCTGTCTTCAGATGTTCAAATGGGTTTTCTTTCTTGTGCTTGAAACAGCGACTGTGCCAAAGCAAAATAAGAAAAACCCCCTTCACTGCCAATAGCAACAACTTTGAACTCTTGCATTCATGCAGTGTTTGTATTATCCTCCAGAAATGCCTGGATTAAAGAATTGATTGCATTTTAATGAACTAATCTTTGGACACTATCTGCTGCCAGACTCTTTCCAAGGTGTGTTGCAAGCAGTCATTAAAGATGCAAAGCTTTCACGGGCAGCTATGTTACCCAGTTTCACCACTGGAAAATTGAGAGACGATAGGCTGAAGTGAAGCTCAATAACTATAATGAAATAAAGCCATAAATGAAGATAACTTATTCAAGTCATTAGAAACAAGTTTGCTGTTTGTGTGCTTAGAAGAGCACCAAGAGCAAACGAACAATGCATTTACTAATGAGAAAATCTCTTCTCTTGCAGGTTGTTGGTCTTCTCTTGCCCAACCAGACGCTGGCATCCACTGTGTTTTGGCAGGTAACCCTTGTCTGAATGACTGGAGAATGTGATGGAAAGGAAAGCTAGCAGCTGACTTGTGTCTAGAGGACAAACTGATGCACATGGCGTTTCTGCAGTGGCAGTGCTTTAGTTGATGGGGAGATGATGTGACTGGGTATAATTAGGGAAAGGTTTGGTTGGTCTGGAAGGGGCTATAAGCAAAATATTTTATCTGCTTTCCAGTGCCTGGCTATTTATGCCATTGCAAGGGAGATGCAAAACAGCCCAGGATCTCAAAATCAACCTTTCAGACCCATTTTGTATAGGTGTAAATGATCGCACAGGGCGTACTTCCATGAAGATGTAGGCCCTTAAGCTCACACATCTGCTGTTTTGAAGGCACCCTGTCAAGTAGTTGGGATCTTCCTCGGTGAATTCCCTTTGGAAGTGCCACATATGCGCAGGGCTGGGGCAGGGGGAGGCCCCATGCCCAGGAATTTTGGGAATAGCTGTGCATTGCAAAGGCAAGAACCTCTGCATTCAATGCGCTACAGGGGCTTTGGAGGAAAAAAAAAATGTGTATGTAGGGAGGTGTTGGCATTATTTCCCATTAAAATTCTGGAATTAAGAGGAAGGGGAGGAAGCGTGCACGTGAATGAGTTTTCTCCATAGTAAACACGCCCCTTAAGTATAATTTCAGCACTAACTGAATTGCAAAAACAAGTTACTTTCAAGACTTATTTTTAGCTGTGAATGTCTTTTTATTGTCTACAGTGTAAGTGATGATAGAGAATTATGCGGTTAAGAAATATCAAAGCAGAATGGGATCTGACTAGTATGTTAGAAAGACTGCAGAACCAAGAATATATTGATATGTGCCAGTAACTTGTGGTTTGTTGTATTTAGCTATAAGTTGTCCCATGTGGTTTTACTTCTGGGAGTGGGATAGTGAGACATCTAGACTCATATTTTTGAAGGCAACTTGCCTCACCTGTCTTTAGACATCTAAGATGGAAAGAGTTGGCTTTTGGAGAAGTTACTCTCGTGTGAGTGAGGAGCGAGCCAGCCTGGATAATTGGCTTGGGCTGAGTGTCTTGTAAATGGTTTACATGAGGAGCTCCTGTTCACACTGTCATGGTAGAGCTGGGAGAAACTTTTGGCTTTGAAAGGACAGAATAGTCCTTATAAACCTAGAAAGAACATTTCAAACACAGAACTGAAATAAGCCTGCTTGAGAGGGAGGTTGTAGCAGGCAAGTCCTGCAACTGAACCCTGTCTGGGCCAGTGCCTCTTGCAAGTGGTTCTCCATCGATGGTTCCTCCATCGTTCTGCTGATGGGCACATGGGTCACCCCTTTCTGAAAAATACGAGTAGGAGGAATAGCAACCTAGAGAGGCATCATCCAAAAAGCTTGGGAGGGTGTCAGGTGGCCACCTGGGAAGACGATGGAGTCAAGAAACGGGTAGTGGGGATATCTTCAACCTAGAGGCAGCTTAAACTCTAGATTAAGGACAGTATCTGAGCAGTGTGTCTACATCTCTCTGAAAAGGAGATTTGTCTGGGTAAATAGCATAGGATTTAGGGATGATGCATATTACTTTATTAACAAATACTGGGTCCTATAGCAGCAGGCTTGTACAGTGAAGCAGTTGTTGCTGATGGGCACAAGTGGGAACATAGGAAGTTCCATTCCACATGGAAAAACGTCTTTACAGTTCGGGTGACAGAGCACTGGCACAGGCTGCCCAGGGAGGTTGTGGAGTCCCTTTCTCTGGAGATTTTCAAGACCCGCCTGGATGCAGTCCTGAGTAATGTGCTTTAGGCAATCCTGCTTTAGCAGGGGAGTTGGACTAGATGATCTCTAGAGGTCCCTTCCAACTCTGAAGATTCCATGATTCTGTGATGCCCAAAATGTACGTGTCTCAGGCTAGCTCTAGCCTGGTCTTGTGGACCTGCTAATGTATGTATGAGCTGTGGGGGTTAAAAAAAACAACAAACCACATCTGGAAAATTGAGGCCGATTTCTAGCACATATTGGCAAGCTGACTTTGTAATTTTTTTTTTTTAATTACTATTTAAAGAAAATAAAAAACCAAGGTTTGCTGGGTCCAAAGTTCCAGGCTGGAGAGCTGGTCAGCAGGAAAAATGTGCTCTTGGCCTGTGAATTCGGCAATGACTGGGCTGATCCTGTGTTTTAATGCCTCGTTTCACACTGTCTCCTCACCCTCACTTCATTCCTCCTCTTCCGTCTTAACTCCGGCCACAGCTGGCAAAGAGTTCAGTTCTCACATGCTCTGATCTGGGAACATGATGTTTTGGGGATGAAAACTATGATTTTCTGTACGTTGCCAGCAGTTGCTGTGGGTAAAACCCCTTCAGGACCGTGGTGCTACTCATCCCCGGCTGCTGTCACACTGCTCCGATGACAAATCCTGCTCCAAAAAGTTGTGGACAGAAATATCAGTTTAGTGGCATCCATATACATAAGATGATACATCTGTTCATCTCCTGTTCCTCAGCTGAAGCCTCCTATGACCCTCTATTTGAGAACCATGGAGCTTAATACGTGACTGATGAAATAGCTGCTGGGCTTACTGCTACATCTTAACAGCAGTAGGGGTTTGGTGCTGACAAAAATAAAGACCAATAGCACTGAGGTGTCATGTGGAAGTGAATTGGGCCAGAAGAAGAGTTGCACATCGAGCACACAGGGAAGCAGAGCTGCCCTCTGGGACCTGGGTGCCTTGGTATTTCTGTCCCTCGCTTGGAAGGGCATTAAGTCAGATGTAAGGCATGCATGAGCCTTTGAAAAGAGGTGGCAAGTTGTGAGCAGGTCCAAAGGGAGATGAGTTTTCCTGCAGTGCTCCCACATTTATAGATTTTTTTTTTATTATTATTATTTTCATGAAGTTATGTTTATGCCTGTCTCTTCTTGTTTCCTCTTTAGTGGTTGAATCAGAGCCACAATGCCTGCGTCAACTATGCAAACCGCAATGCGACAAAGGTGAGGAGACCCAACACATGTGGTGCATGGAGCACGTTAGGTCTGTTTTGGCACGGAAACATAAGTCTTACCTCTTTGCTGTTAATAGAAACTCTGTGATGACTTTATAGATTGGCCATTCTCCTGCATAGACTTCCATTTTAAACCTCACCTGTAAATGGCACAAGGATCTCAAAACCACTCAAGGCACATAAGTAATGCTCAGTGCCTTTGAGCTGAACCAATATATAATTCTAACTGGTATGAAATAGTTTAATTTGATATGTAAATGAGCACAAAGCGAAACGGTATCTGGTTTTTTGGATAGCAGAAGGTGGCTGCATGATCACATTGCTATCCCTGGAGGACTTTATATGCGCTACCAGCAATGGTGCTGGGAAATGGTGGGGAAGTTCCTGCTCTCCTCCATTGCTTTAGCCTTCATTCATCCCGTGTTGGGATGTGGGAAGCTCAAGATGGGAAGCTGAGTTGGAAAGCATCCAGCTCATTGAAATAACATTTCAGAGACAAATATTTAATGTGGAGAGTTTGGGGTTCATCACTAGTGTATAAGAATGCTAATTTTGTACCATTTGCTGAATTTCATTCACATACTTCCTTTAAGCTGCTATTATTATAATTTTCTGATGCCAATTAATTTTCCATTCCCTCTAACCTTGCTCATGAGGCTACAGTTTTCCTTGCTTTTGCCGCTGCTAGATGACAGACCATGTGTCACAGAACAATATGACAAAATTAAACCTGTCTCTGGTTTAAAACAAATAAAAGAAAAAGAAAACAAACAAAAAAGCTTGGTTGCATTTTAATAACCAGAAGTTTGTTTATTGAAAATATGTTTTGTTTTTCTTTCCAAAGCCTTCTCCGACATCCAAGTTCATCCAGGGCTACTTGGGAGCTGTCATAAGTGCTGTCTCAATAGCAGTGGGTAACGCTTTATATCTATATATTTCACTACTAAGTAACTGCTCCCTTGCAGTAGTACTGCAGTGCTTTTGAGATGTTTGTTTGAATTGCCAAGCATGTTTATCTTTTAATTGACAGAATTCAGTCTACATAACCAGAAAATATTTTAACCGTGAGGTGTCTCTGTCCATGCATGCCCAAACTTTTCAACAGAAGGAGATTTCTACCGCTGATGGCTTCCAGCACGTCCTGCACCATGCACTGCCTGTGTCTCTGCACCGTGGCTTTGCCTCTGGATGAACTCAGATTATCCACATGTGCATTAACTTGTGGTGAATTAGCCTAGTCCAAGTTAAAAGAGTGACTGTGGGGCTGCAGAGTGATAGTGTGACAGCTGACATGCTGAACAGAGTGAGGCTTTTGGAGATATTCTTTTGGTGGCTCAGCACCTTGAACTGAAAGAACTGCAGCACTCAGAATGACATCTTTCACCTGTGGACAGCGTTCAAGCTGAGAATGGTGTTCAAGTCCTATCTGAAGTAATCTGTAAGAGAGGAGCTTTTAACGTTGCTAAAGTCGTGGTCTCGTGGTGCAGCCCTCAGGCTTTTAATACTCATATTCCCCAGAAGCACAAGTTGACATCTTTAGCAAGGTTAGCTAATTCCCAAGGAGGCAGGTACATTTTTTCAGAAGCAACTTATGGAAGTTATTTCTTACACTGGGTTTTCAAATAAGCCTCTGAAACGTATGGTTGTTCCTTTTCTACTGGAACATTAAAGATTCTATGGCAGTTTGTATTTTTTTCCTCTGGCCAAGATTTTTTTTTCCTTTTTATCAATCCACAGGCATCCTTTTCCAGGCATTTTTTCTGCAAACAGGTTGTGCTACGGGAAGAAGCTAGCACTCAGCCTGCTCACCACACCATTTGTAGCCAGGTTCCCCAATTCACCTTTGGGGGAAAAAGTTGCATGGGCTTGGTTAGATTTGTTTACAAGGTAAAATGTTTGTCTAGAGCAGGCTGCGGATTGTTAGGAGAACTCTGGAGGCAGGAGCTCCTGGCTGGGAACTAGCAGTGAGTGGTTTGGCCCATCATGTCTACAGTGGACAGCAGAAATTCTGCAGCTGTGTTCTGCAGCTACCAGACAGCTTTGCAGCAGTGGTAGCGAAGGGCATAGAGATGGTGAAGTGCCTTGCAGTTCTGAGTGGAAACTGTTCGTTTTATTGGATAAAATAACCATCTGCTTGATGGTTTTCTGTAGTGCTGGCTTGGCTTGCTCACGGTTTGCCACACTGCTCCTCTGTGTTACCTGTATTATCGCCTCACTGCAGAATTAACCCAGGCTATGCACACAGACCAGCCTTGTGTTGGTGTGAGCTCCAATGCTTTATAACCCCATGAAGATGTGTCCACTCCAGCTCCACGCTTACGTAGCTGAACTACAATTTGAGACCCCATCCCACCAACCTCAGTGCTTCGGTTAGCAGCTGTTCTCTGTCCACTCTCTCCTGGTGTAGCATGGGAGAGCTTGAGTGTTGTTCGTTCAGAATTTTTTCCACCTCGTGAATTTGTAAAGCAAAGCTCTTCAGTTTAATGTGCTGCTGCCTCTAACAACCTGCCTTCCAACCCCCAGTGCAGCTGCAGCACAGGGATGATGACTGGTTCCACATTGTTGGCATTAATGCTCTTCTCCGTTTTGGCAACAGGGGCAGATAGAGGGCAGGAGACATGGAGAATTGATGTTGGCAGAGTTTTGTCATCCTGAGAAGCTGACAGGCTTTGGTAAGGAAAACAATTGGGTGATGAGTGGAGATGTCCATGTTGGGACAGCTGATGCAGGTCTTTAAAATCTCTGATTCCTCTTAGGAGCTGAAGCAGAGAGTTAGGTTTAGAGCGTAGAAGTGACCATCAGTGGTGTTGTGAGAAACACTCCTTCTCTGAAGCAGTGTGAAAAACTACACCAAGACTTGTAGATAAAAGAAATCACAGCAAACCAGCAGTGGCCTGCTGTTACTGCAGGGTGGCTGTCACCACTGGTGACATGTGGGTGGCTCATCAGTCTGCTGACGGTGGGTCAGCTCTTTGTCCTGTGGTGGTTTTTGTACCTCTGCTAGTTGTACCATTTACTCCCCGGTGGTGAAGGAGCTGGCGTTCTGTACAGAGCAACAAGCTTTGAATAAATGCAGAAACTGAAACGATGCTGGGGTTTATCTGTCCACAAAACGTGTAGGTGCACCTCCAGCAGAAGCCCCAGTGCCTGGTTATCATGCATACCTCAGCTGTCCATCACAGGGACAGTTTTAAAAGCACCATGAGGAAAGATGATGGTATTCTGTACTTACAGCAGTTCAAGCTTGTGGAAGAGGAAGTCTTCCTTCAGTGGTGTAGACGCTGAGAGGGTGTTGCTGCCTTCTTGTGTAAGTACCACGATGACCCACCAGACTGGGCTTCCACAGGGATACCCTTAGCGTGTGTGCAGAATACCATGAGCTCTGTAATAGCAGTGGGTTTGTAGCTCTGGTGCCGAGGGTCAGAATATTGTTACGGGGAGGCAGGAACTTTCCTTACGTCCATTGATGTAGTTGGGGAAGCAGAGAAGGGCAGCAGCCTTCATGAGTACTCCTTCCTGATGTTGGAAGGAGGTCTGCTTCCAAAGTGGAGCATGCTATGGCACATAGAGTGTGCGAAAATGGGGTGAAGTCGCTGTGCACTGATGTTCCCCGTGTAGACAAGCCATTGGGGACACTACCAATGTGTGTGTTAACATATAATAGTTTGTGTCCTGATAATCTGTAGCACCACTCACTGCGTACTCAATTCCTGATGCAGAGCAGCTTAAAGAAAATCCTGCAGAGCAGAGAGTGATTTTTATATTGTAAATATCTGGATTAATAACCAGTATCTCCTTGAGCAGTTCGGTTTTGTTTTGGTTTGGTTTTTTTTAAATGATGATGACAAATAATATAGAAATAGCCCTGAGGTTCATTACATTGGATTGTAAGGCCTCAGCCCTCATTAACTGATTTTTGCTGTCAGTTAGCAGCAAATCACCTCCCAGTGTGAGCCTATTAGGACCAGATGACCTGAAAACAAGTGCCACTGCCTCCAGTGGTCTGCTGAGACCCGGTATTAATTAAAGTGAGCCCCTTCCGTGTTTGCAGTTGGCAAGCGACGCAGGGAGAAAGCTCATGAAATGACAGATCAGTTGACTCGTGATTGTGCTTCCCATCATCTTCACCCTCTGTGTCTTTATCTAACAAAGAGGGACAAACAAATTGCTTTCTCACGTGTACAGAAGAGCAGATTTTGGCTTTATGCTTCTTGCAATTAAACTAGAAGTTTTAGCAAATCTTTGCAAATAACCTGATTCTTTTCCCATTTTAGAGAGGGAGAGGAATTCCCGTCAGAGAGAGGCAACACATCTCTCTCCAGTGCTACATCTGGGACATCTGATTTGCAGCACTTTTGGATGAGTTTTTTGAGGAATCAGTATTCTTTTTTTTCAATATTTTTCAGTATTTCAGTATTTTTTTTCCCCCAATAGTCTTTTTTCCACCTACTCCTAGCTCAGCACAATTCATAGCATAGCTTCAGGCAAGGAAAGCTATCCCAGGTCCCGAATTCTCTCTCTTCTCCCATGCAGTACTCAGGTGAAGCAATCACTTGAAGTTAAGGCTAGCAAAGACATTAGAAGGGATAGTTTTAAGACTGAGTGTGAGAAAAGAGGTGAAAAGGCTGAGATAACAGATCTTTTCCATCTCTGATTTCTTACGTGACACTTCTGCGCTGTCTCTGCCACCCGGCACGTGCCAAGACCTGGGCTACCCGCTCTGCACGAGCGTGCGACATCTCTGAGCTTCGCTTGTGGTTGAAAATATGTTTAGAGGAGTCTGATTACCGTTAAGTAACCTAGATTTCTGTTTCTCCTTCTGTGATTGTAGTTTATTTTTATCATGTTCTCTATGCACCAGCATCCTTCCTGCCTTTTCTTTTGATTGCTCTCGCTTTACTGCTTTTCCAAACACTGAGCCCTAATTGTATTTTTTTTTTTAATTTTTTTTTTACCAATTGAGTGGATTCCTGTGATTAGGCCTTATTTTCTGATATCTGGCTGCTGTTCATGATGGTGGTGTATGAAGTGCAATTAATACCAGCTGGTTTTCCTAAGCAAGGCAAACAAAGACAGAGAGTAGTAAAAAGACTTGAGAAAGACCAAGCATATTTTAAATGTGGGTTTTTTTCACCAAATATTCTAGTGCCAAGAGCTATACTGATCAGAGGGCTTGTAATTATACAGAAACCCTTTCCAGCAGACACACGTGCACACTCTTGCTCTGCTAATTTTGTCATGTTTTTAAAAGGTTAAAAAAGCTACGTAATAAAAACCAATTTTATTCTTAATAACTGCTTTATACATATTTTATAAGGAGGTTTCTTAGTTTCAGCTCCAACCTTGATTTGCTCCTGTATCGCTGATCCCTTCTGCATCTGATTCAGCTCTTTGGTACTATGGCCTTAGACTGTAACTTCAGTTTGAGGTCGGAAGTGATTCTTGTGGCTGCAATTAAATGCCTGCAAATTAAACCAGAACCAGACAAAGGCTGTGAGCAGATGCTCTCTGGTTTCTGGGCTGTCACTGGTGCTGAGACCAGCAGACTGGAGAACTGGTAGTGTTAGCCCAGGGGTTGCTTCACCTGGAGCCCGTGGTGGTGAGTCACTGGGTTTCTCCATACATCCTCCTTGAAGTATCTCACAGCAGTGGTGTTATTGCTGTTTGTTTCCATTGTCTTTGGATCAAAGCTTTATACGCCAGGTTTTAATTTCCATGATCACAACTTCAGGTTCTGCTAAGACGGGCTCCAAGTCTTGTTCCTTGTGATGTGGAAGACCCTGTGCAGACTCTTCAAGGGGTTTCCCCTCTTCTGCCAGTGTAATTTGGCCACGTACCTGACATCTCCCAGTAAGCAGTGTATTGTCGCTCAGCTTGATGCCCAAGTCATTAGGTTGTCGTCCATCTGTT